ATTCCATTATGTTGTCTTATTGCTATTGCTAGAACTTCAAGCACTATATTGAAGAGGTATGGGGAGAGTGGACAGCCTTGTCGTGTTCCTGAGTTAAGTGGGATGGCTTTGAGTTTCTCTCCGTTTAATTTGATGTTAGCTGTCGGCTTGCTGTATATAGCTTTTATTATATTTAGGTATGACCCTTGTATCCCTAATCTCTCCAAGACTTTTAACATAAATGGATGTTGAATTTTGTCAAATGCTTTTTCAGCATCTAATGAAATGATCATATGGTTTTTTTCTTTCAGTTTATTTATATGCTGGATTACATTGATAGATTTTCGTATGTTGAACCAGCCCTGCATCTCAGGAATGAAGCCTACTTGATCATAATGGATAATTTTTCGGATGTGTTCTTGGATTCGATTTGCCAGTATTTTGTTGAGGATTTTTGCGTCGATATTCATGAGTGAGATTGGCCTGTAGTTCTCTTTCCTGGTTGAGTCTTTGAGTGGTTTTGGTATCAGAGTAATTGTGGCTTCATAAAAGGAGTTTGGTAATGACCCTTCTGTTTCTATCTTGTGGAATACATTAAGGAGTATAGGTATTAGATCTTCTTGGAAGATCTGGTAGAATTCCGCATTGAAACCATCTGGTCCTGGGCTTTTTTTGGTAGGGAGGTTTTTGATAACCTCTTCTAATTCTTCGCGACTAACAGGTCTATTTAGATTGTTCACCAGGTCCTGATTTAACTTTGGTATATGATATTTATCTAAAAAAGTATCCATTTCCTTTACATTTTCCAATTTTGTGGCATATAGGCTTTTGTAGTAAGATCTAATGATTCTCTGAATTTCCTCTGTGTCTGTGGTTATGTCCCCCTTTTCATTTCTGATCTTATTAATTTGCAAATTCTCTCTCTGCCGTTTGATTAGCTTGGATAGTGGTTTGTCAATCTTGTTGATTTTCTCCAGGAACCAGCTTTTTGTTTCATTGATTTTTTGTATTATTTTCTGTGTTTCTATTTTGTTGATTTCAGCCCTCATTTTGATTATTTCCAGTCTTCTACTCCTCCTAGGTGAGTCTGCTTCTTTTTTTTCTAGAGCTTTCAGGTGGGCTGTTAAGTCTCCAATGTGAGCTTTCTCTGTTTTCTTTAAGTGGGCACTTAGTGCTATGAACTTTCCTCTTAGGACTGCTTTCATAGTGTCCCATAAGTTTGAGTATGTTGTTTCTTTATTTTCATTGAATTCCAGGAAGACTTTAATTTCTTTCTTTATTTCTTCCTTAATCCAGCTATGGTTCAATAGTTGACTGTTCAGTTTCCATGACTTTGTATGCTTTCTGGGGGTAGCATTATTGTTGAATTCTAACTTTAATCCATGGTGATCTGATAAGACACAGGTGGTTACTAATATTTTTTTGTAACTGTGGATGTTTGCTTTGATACCGACTATGTGGTCGATTTTCGAGAAGGTTCCATGAGCTGCAGAGAAGAAGGTATATTCTTTCCTATTTGGATGGAATGTTCTATAGATGTCTGTTAAGTCCATTTGATTCATTACCTCCACTAATTCTCTTATTTCTCTGTTAGGTTCCTGTCTGATTGACCTGTCCATTGGTGAGAGAGGAGTGTTGAAGTCTCCTACTATTAGTGTGTGCGGTTTGATGGCGGCCTTGAATTTTAGCAATGTTTCTTTTATGTACGTGGGTGCTTTTATATTAGGGGCATAGATGTTCAGGATTGAGACTTCATCCTGATGAACTGTTCCTGTTATGAGTATAAAATGCCCCTCTCCATCTCTTCTGATTGATTTAAGTTTAAAGTCAACTTTGTTAGAGATTAGTATGGCCACACCTGCCTGTTTCTTAGGTCCATTTGCTTGATAGGCCTTTTCCCAGCCCTTTACTCTGAGTAGGTGCCTGTCTTTGTGGTTGAGGTGTGTTTCTTGTAAACAGCAGAATGTTGGATCCTGTTTTCTTATCCAATCTCTTAGCCTGTGCCTTTTTATAGGTGAGTTGAGTCCATTGACATTAAGTGATATTAATGACCAGTGGTTGTTAACTCCGGTCATTTTTTTTTAGTCGTAGAGTTTGTGTGTTTCCCTTCTTTGTTTTGTGTTGGTGAAGGGTCTCTAGATGTCTGAGTTATTGTGGTCATTGTTGGACTCCTTGGTTAGTGATTTTCCTTCAATTACTTTCTGTAAGGCTGGATTTGTGGCTGCGTATTGTTTAAATTTGTTTTTATCCTGGAAAATTTTATTTTCTCCATTTATAGTGAATGAAAGCTTGGCTGGGTATAGTAATCTGGGCTTGCACCCATGGTCTCTCAGTTTCTGCAGTACATCTATCCAGGACCTTCTGGCTTTCATGGTTTCCATGGAGAAGTCAGGTGTAAGTCTGATAGGTTTACCTTTATAAGTAATTTGGCCTTTTTCCTTTGCAGCTCTTAATATTCTTTCCTTATTCTGTATGCTTTGTGTTTTGATAATTATATGGCGAGGGGATGTTTTTTTTTGATCCAGCCTATTCGGTGTTCTGTATGCTTCTTGCACCTTCATAGGAAAATCTTTCCTTAGGTTGGGAAAGTTTTCTTCTATAATTTTATTAAATAGATTTTCTGGACCATTGAGCTGCCCTTCTTCTCCTTCTTCTACTCCTATTATTCTTAGGTTTGGTCTCTTTATTGTGTCCCATATTTCCTGAATGTTTTGTGATGAGAGTTTGTTGGACTTGCTGTTTTCTTTGATCAGTGTGTTTATTTTCTCTATGGTATCTTCAGAATCCGAGAGTCTTTCTTCTATCTCTTGTATTCTGCTGGTTATGCTTGTTTCTGTAGTCTCTATTCGTTTACCTAGATTTTCCATGTCCAGACGGCCCTCTGTTTGTGTTTTCTTCTTTGCCTCCATTTCAGTTTTCAGGTCTTGAACTGTTTCCATTATCTGTTTGATTGTTTTTCCTTGGTTTTCTAGGGTATCATTCACTGATTTATTCAATTCTTCAAACTTTCTGTTATATTTCTCATCCATTTCTATAAGGGCGTTTTTTACATGCTGTTTAAGGGTGTCAATCACTTTCATGAAGTCAATCTTTTCTCCTTCCTCTTGATTAAGGGGTTCTTGTCCTCCCGTTGTGAGGTCGCTTGTTTCTGGTAGCTTCATGTTGCTTTTCAGCTTGTTGGGCGAATTCTTGCCTTGACGTCGGCCCATCTCTTCTTCCAAATGCTCCCTATGGATCTTCTTTTACTGGATTAGGTCTCCTTGCCTACCAAACGCTGTCTCTCCCCAATGTTGGCTCTCCCAATGCTGGGTCTCCTGGCGCCGAAAGATCAGGCCTCCGTGCTGGTTGGGCAGCTCGCAGACAAAGCGCCTACCCCGCTTGGTGCAGGCAGGCCACAGAAACAAAGGAACTGCTGCCCCCCGGGAGCCCCGGGTACTCGGACTCAGCGCCCAGATAGGCTGGGCTGGGCGATGCCACGCGCCAAAAGAGGGCAGTGGGGGCGAAGTGGGGAGGGCTCTGGACGGAAGCTGGGTGGGCCAGGAAGAAAGAGGCAGCACCCGGGGAGTAGAGGCCCTGCAGAGAGCCCAAGCAGGACAGGGGGCCAAGAAACCCCCGAGCTCCCCGTCCCAGGCTGGCGCCGTGGGCCAGAAACTCACCCCAATGCAGGGTCTCCTGGCGCCGAAAGATCAGGCCTCCATGCTGGTTGGGCAGCTCGCAGACAAAGCGCCTACCCCGCTTGGTGCAGGCAGGCCACAGAAACAAAGGAACTGCTGCCCGCCCGGGAGCCCCGGGTACTCGGACCCAGCGCCCAGATAGGCTGCGCTGGGCGATGCCACGCGCCAAAAGAGGGTAGTGGGGGCGAAGTGGGGAGGGCTCTGGACGGAAGCTGGGTGGGCCAGGAAGAAAGAGGCAGCACCCGGGGAGTAGAGGCCCTGCAGAGAGCCCAAGCAGGACAGGGGGCCAAGAAACCCCCGAGCTCCCCGTCCCAGGCTGGCGCCGTGGGCCAGAAACTCACCCCAATGCTGGGTCTCCTGGCGCCGAAAGATCAGGCCTCCGTGCTGGTTGGGCAGCTCGCAGACAAAGCGCCTACCCCGCTTGGTGCAGGCAGGCCACAGAAACAAAGGAACTGCTGCCCGCCCGGGAGCCCCGGGTACTCGGACCCAGCGCCCAGATAGGCTGCGCTGGGCGATGCCACGCGCCAAAAGAGGGTAGTGGGGGCGAAGTGGGGAGGGCTCTGGACGGAAGCTGGGTGGGCCAGGAAGAAAGAGGCAGCACCCGGGGAGTAGAGGCCCTGCAGAGAGCCCAAGCAGGACAGGGGGCCAAGAAACCCCCGAGCTCCCCGTCCCAGGCTGGCGCCGTGGGCCAGAAACTCACCCCAATGCTGGGTCTCCTGGCGCCGAAAGATCAGGCCTCCGTGCTGGTTGGGCAGCTCGCAGACAAAGCGCCTACCCCGCTTGGTGCAGGCAGGCCACAGAAACAAAGGAACTGCTGCCCGCCCGGGAGCCCCGGGTACTCGGACCCAGCGCCCAGATAGGCTGCGCTGGGCGATGCCACGCGCCAAAAGAGGGTAGTGGGGGTGAAGTGGGGAGGGCTCTGGACGGAAGCTGGGTGGGCCAGGAAGAAAGAGGCAGCACCCGGGGAGTAGAGGCCTTGCAGAGAGCCCAAGCAGGACAGGGGGCCAAGAAACCCCCGAGCTCCCCGTCCCAGGCTGGCGCCGTGGGCCAGAAACTCACCCCAATGCTGGGTCTCCTGGCGCCGAAAGATCAGGCCTCCGTGCTGGTTGGGCAGCTCGCAGACAAAGCGCCTACCCCGCTTGGTGCAGGCAGGCCACAGAAACAAAGGAACTGCTGCCCGCCCGGGAGCCCCGGGTACTCGGACCCAGCGCCCAGATAGGCTGCGCTGGGCGATGCCACGCGCCAAAAGAGGGTAGTGGGGGCGAAGTCGTAAAACACTATTTTTATACTTAAACTTTACTTAGTTGATTTTATTTCTACTCTCCTCCCAATAGAGCACCATGGTTTCAAGTATAGTTCAGTGTCAAGTCGCTTCATGGCCCAAAGTTGACCCCAAAGAAAATATCTTGTGAGTCAGACCTGGGTGCAGAGGTTTAGTTGGTTTGAAGTTTAAAGTATGGTGCATAATGATGAAATCCTGCTCTTGATTTTCTCTATCTCTTCAAGAAGTTTCTTGCTCTCTTTCTCAAATCCTTCCTTGGTTTTCTCTATCTCGTCAAGAAGTGTCTTGCTCTCTTTCTCAAATCCTTCCTTGAGAAGTTGTTCCTGTTCCTAAAATGGAGATGAAGAGTGAACTCAGACAGCTCCCATGTTCTTCATGTGTCTCACAAGCTTTCCTTTGAAAGTTATACTAAACCTTGGGGGAATTTTGAATTTTTCCCACAATTTTTTCCTTTCTCCACTTCTATATTTTCTCTCCCATCTCCTCATATGGCAAAAAAAAAAGTCCTGTGCTTTCTCAAACTTTAGAAATGCTGTCTACCAGTTCCTAAAACACCAGTGGCCCACAACTCTGATTCTAATTCTGGGATCCTTTGGCTCATGTAAAACACAATTTTCTATAACATCAACACTAGCTTCCCTCTTTCTTGCCTCATCTCTGATCTGTGTGCTGTGGACTATCAAACACATGCAATAAAGTGACAATACTGACAGAAAACCAAGAGAAGATCACTACCAGATTCAGAATTAGGGCAGGCATTCAAGTAAGGAATTTAGTACATCTTCAAAATGTTTAGTGTCCAGTAAGGAGACATAAATATATTGAAGTAACTGGGATCTTCAGTGCTCACACTTTTTTATTAACAACCATGAAGCCTAAGTAAAGATGTGGAGGGATGCTCAGAAAATAGAATGCTTCTGGCAATGTGAGCATTTAACCATTTTCTTGATGGTTTGAGACTGTGTCTATTCTTTAGGATGCTTCCAGAGATATGGTCATGGGAGGTGTGGCAGGAACAAAATTTCTGTGGGTCGCATTTGGTAGAAAAGATAGGAGTTGAATATTGCATCATATAGTTTTATGCAAAAATCATTTTACATGTAGCAAGTACAACTTCTCTGCCTAGCACATAAGAAAAAGATAATCCTTGAAAGGTTAATTGAAGATTTTGTCACAGAAATCCTTAAAAACACCTGAAAATAATCTGCAGTTCAAAACTATTGTTTAACAGAGATGCCCTGATAAAGGGTTTCATCCAGCAATAGGCAGCCTTACAGAGCCAGAGATGGCAGAAGAAAAAGCAGCAAGGGGCTGAGACTGTAATAGAGAATGTAAACAACTCACTCCACTTTGGAGGATCTTGTGTTATTACCATTGTATTTGGGGGTAGGGGTGGCACAGAGTCTTCATTCACAATCCGGTGAAACCTTAACCTGAATCTGATGTCTCAGGTTCCTGATAGACATTGTTGATTGGACGCAGAATCTGAAAATTACAATGATGCAGCCAGGTACCTTAAGTTTAAGGAGTAAAATATTTTGTTGCTCAGCTATTAACTCTTCCCGCTCCCGCTGCATCTTCTCAGTCAGCTGCTTCACATGCTCAAGGTAACTCTTGTCCTTCTCTTCCATCATCAGCAGATGCTTCTTTTGCATTTCTTTTAGTTCTCTGTTTGCAGCCTCAGCAGCTTTAGCCTTTATACGTTCCTCTAAGAAAAGAAAAAGCATAGAACACGAGAACTGAAATCTATTAGATGCTTTTGTCTATGGTCACTTTAGGGAAAAAAAATCCTATCATTGACAGAAATTTTCTGTGGACTCTTTGCCCTATAAAAGCAGTTAACAAGGAGGGAGATGGTCACATCTACCATTTTAAATCAGCCACCATGGAGCTAAGAGAGACATTTGTCATCTTTCTCTGTAATGACAACCTCATATGTCAACAGTCCAAGAATAAGAATATAGAAATGTAGGTTCCAGAAATAGGAATCTAGAAATAAAGAACTACAAAGTTATAAGCCTAGGAGAATGAGAGCAGACTGTCAGCAGCTTTCTCAGCACTTAAGGATTAACTATGGACAGTGTATTACCTTGCTTTACAACTGGAAGCTCTGTCTGTAAGGCTGAAGTGGCCCTCTACAAACTGAAGGTCAGCTTTTACATAACCCCCTGGCCACTCAGGACCAGCAACTGATAAGAGCTGAGTTAACTTTTAAATGATGGGATGCATGTGACTTTTGGTTTTTGCATTATCCCAGCCCTTCCCTGCTATGCAAAACTGGTAGTATCAGGGAAGTGCAGAGCTTCAGTAAACACCATGACACAGTGCCAGAAAAACAAAAAACAAAAAACAATGGACTAAATACAAACACTAGTTTAATGGAAATTCCTGTTAATGGAAAAGCGTGAGAAAAAAAAGAAAAGAAAAGAATTTCCAACATCTGTTTTCTCAGCAGCTCTCACCTTCAATCTCCTTTTCCTTTTCTGTGAGTGACTGATCCATCTTTAGAAGTGTATCAGCCACATCCTCCTTGGACTCAAAGTACATTCTCAGCATCTTTTCAGCCTAAATTCCGTAAGAAATTACAATGAGGAAATAAGAATATGAGCTGAAGACAAATCATGTCATCTTAATTCAATTTAATGCTACCAGCTATAAACACATACTTTGTGATTCAAACAGTATTTCAAGTTTAAGATTTTAAACTTGAAATCTCAACCTGAGATCCCATCATATTAGATCATTTTCAATTGTTCAAACTTTACTAACAGGTGACTCCATTCATCTAGTTGTATCTTTGATGTCTTATTTCCCTTGAAGTATCTATTCTATAAGTTACCATCAGCTAATAATTTGGATTTTGGCTTCAAAATGTATGTTTTTTTTAATTGAGAAATTTTTGTTATACAATATATACTGATCATATGTGCTCTTCCCCCAAGTCCTCCCAGGTCCTGCCCATCTCATACCTACCCAACTGTGTGCCTTTTCTTTCTATCCCTCTTTATAAAACAAACCAGTAAACAAAAACCAATCCCAAAAAAGGAAACAAGAAAATGAAAATCAGGAAACTGACACACACGCAAGACAAAACCCACTAAAACACAAAAGTGGAAACCATAATACAAACAAAAGGCCAATAAGATTTTTTTTAATGCTCTAACAAAAACAGTATGATACAGAAAGTTTACAATAATACCATTGAGTTTGTTTTCTTTTAGCTCTGTACTTCCCAGCATGGGGCCTACCTTGAAGTGCTAACTAGGAACTTTTATTGACCATCTACTCCTTTCAAATCTGCTGCCCTGAGACCTTTCCTCCTGCCAGAATGACTGCTGCAGATCATTCTCAGAGCATCCAGAATATTGTCTTAATAGTTCAAGCAGGGTCTTTGGGGTAGTTTGGAAGACAATGGCCAACATTGGCTCATATGATTCAATGCTTAGTCACAGAGAGTGAAAATGTTTAGGAAGGATGAGGAGGTATGGCCTTGGTGGAGTAGGTATGGACTCTTAGAGGGAGTCTGTCACAAGAGCTGACCTTGTGGTGTGAAAAGCCCATGCCTGGCCCAGTGTGTCTCTCTGGGGATGCTGCCTGCAGCTCAGAATGTAAAGCTCTCAGCTACTTTTCCAGCACCATGCCTGCCTGTGTGCCATCACTCTCCTCATCATGATGATAATGAACTAACCCTCTGAAGCTATAAGCAAGCCCCAAATTTAATGTTTCCTTTTAATAAGACTTCCCTTGGCCATGGTGTCTCTTCACATCAACAGAACAGTAACAAACACAGTGATGCTTAAACCACTGCTGACTTTCTAACTTATCCAAATAAATATCAGGTCTTTTTGAGTGTCCTCCAAGACAGCCGCTGCCTTTTCCAACCTCTGGCCTGTCCCATTATGCCCTGAAAATATTTTCTTTGTCACCAACTAAACAGAACTTTTAAAAAGCATCAATTTATTCTTACAGAGTATTTCTGGTTTCTGATACTTCCATTTCCTTCATAGCTACTTCTCTCTCTGTCTAACTTCTTTTTCTGCTGAACTTTCTTGTTGCCTTATATCAAGGGTGAAATATACTGTTTTGTATATATTATTCTCTGTACAATAGAAGTAAATTCTAGTTAAAATCGCATAAACATATAATCACTAGCAATGGTTTCAGAGCATGAATATGGCCTGGCAGAGCTCACCATATTCTAAAGTTCTTGAATACAACAAAGGAAAAAGGTCTTGAACCCAGAACACAAACAAGTCATTAGAGTGGATGTGTTCTTTCTATCTCATTTCTTTTGTACAAAAGGCAAGAAATATTTAGCACCTTTAAAGGCATATATTAGTTCTAAACTAATATGTAGCTAAATCTAATCTTACCCACTATTGCCTAAGTAGAGCAGTTTAGAGCCATTAAAGGCAAAACTATGAAACCTGGATTTTCATTCAGGCTGTAATTGATTCATTGACTATGTGATCTTGTGTGAGGTCTTAAATTCACTCTCCGACCTCTCCTTTTCTATTTATGAGATAATAATAGTAAATGTTTAGTAGAATTGGTGTCAGAACTCAGTGGATTAACTTCTAGAAAACTGTAGAAAAATCTACCTGTCAACTGCCCTAACTACCATTATCACGAGTCAGAGAGCTAGCATCACCTTGTGGTTGTGAGGAAGAACTTTGTAGTTGGATTTGGTTTGGTTTATTTATTGCATAAATTACAGTAACTCTAGCACCCTGAGAAGTACTCGAAACATGAGGATAAATAAATCACTGTGAGATGATTAGATAAATAAAGGAATGAATAAATTCAAGAAACAAGATTGTACTCCCAAGGAAGAAACTGCTGTCTGTATCATGATTGGTTCTCTGTGGGTGGATGTAAGGCAAGGGCACTCTCCACCAACATCATTGCATCTTCCTTGCTCTCACTAGCATTTGAGGGAGATTCCACACCAGCCTCCCAAAATGGTACCAGCTAACTCAGTTTACCTGAATCCCCTTTCCAGGCACCTGATTATAATATTTCTCCAGCTCTTGTCTCTTTTGAAGATAGAGATAGTAACCTCTTGGTTGAGAAAATGTCCCCTGTTTCACTTCTTCTTCCAGAGGACCAAAGATATCCTGCAACAAATCTGAGCAACGAGCTGATGACACATCCATGTTTTTCTTAATGACTGCATCTTGCTTGGCATCCAGCAGGTACTAAACACAGACAAAATCACACAGATGGTTGAGAGGAGGGAGATAACACAATACACTACTGGCAAATGTCTGAATGGGGCCTATCTCTTCACCTCACTGTAAGATTACATGGTGTACCTGCTAAAACTGGTCCTTCAGTTTGAGATTTCCTGAAGGCACCTCCTTGTTCCCCTCCTGCTGCCCACCTTCCTGATTTAGGATGTAACTATCAAAGCACAGACACCACTTCATAGGAAACCTTTGTCTTTTCAAGTCTCTAATTTTAGGAATAGTTTAGATCAGGCTCCTGTGGGAATTCCTGAAGCCACCACTCTGTTGTTTTCGAGTTTTAAATTTCATGGACCGATGATCTCTTGTCTCTGAAATAGGATGAGCAACACCAGTTTCAGAGGTTTCTAGTCCAATTATGAGGTAAAGCAGAGCATTAAGGCCAGAGGCTTTGCTAGACATACTCAGCAAAAAAAAAAAAATACTTTTTGATATTCTAACATTTTGTACAGTTTTTGTCACTGCAATTCTAAAGAAATGTGAAGATGATAATGATGGACATCTCAATATTTAGGGGGCATAATGGAGTCGAATATATATATATGTATATATATATATATATATATATATATATATACATATATATATATAACTTCCTGAAAGTAATTTAGAAATGAAGATGCCTCTTTTCTATTGACATTGACTATTTAGCTTCATTACAACTCTTGACCTCAACTATCATTCTAAATATCAGTAAATTTGGGCTTGCTAATAAGGAAGGGATCATCACAGACTAAATACCCATGCATTTATTTAATAAACAGAATGAAATTTTGTGTAAAATATGGTTAACTATATTGCAATCTTTTATATCAATGTCCAGAAGAATCTAGTCTTTCAGTAACCATTGCATATCTGTTCACTTCATGGGGTGTCAGTATATTAGAGACTAAAGACTATGCTCATCCCAGAAAATGCCCATGTTTTTTTTTTCTTCTGATTTTGGGTATCACACATACCTTTAATTCCTTCTGGAACTTTTTGTCTACATCCTTAAAAGAATTTTTCATGAAGACCTCAATGGCCTCACTCTCAATAGGCCTGAGCAAGTCCAGCAGCTCCTGGAGGGTTTCCGTGGGTAATTGGACCTTATGGTTCACCTGTTCTTCATAGTGCTCAATGGCCTTTTGCACTGCAGCTGAGTTCTCTGTCTGGGCCAAAGCCAGAACAGCATCCTCCATGCAGGGTAGTTCTCCACTGCAGATGGCATTGACATAGGTCACTACCAGACTCTGCAGACCTACATAAAGGACTTTAAAATGAGTTTTAATTGCTGGACAGAGTACATAGTTTTTAGGATTTTCTGAGAAAGAACAACAAGGGAATGACATATTAACCTCTAGATCCAGAGGATATAAAAGCTCGTTTTTACCGCTGCCACATTTATCCCAGGGAAGACTTTGTATTGAAATGATCACAGCAATTAGGAATGGATGGCCTAAGACACTATGTCTACTCATTTTCTCACTCTACGTTTCCTATTCATATCTCATTATCTTTCCTTTCTCTCTTATTAAATGGCCAAAAGAAAACTTTCTCCTTTACCTCTTCTTTTGTTGCTATTACATATTTTTTTAATTTCTTTTTCTTTCTTCCTTCCTTCGTCTCTTCATTTCTAGTAACATATGTTACTAGTTCTTTTTCAATGGTATATAAATAGGTCATCCAGATTTTCTTTTTCACAAAAGCTATAGAATAACCAAGATGTCTAGGTTTTTCCCACATCTGTGTTGTTTATAGGCCTGAAGGCACTACATCCAGTTCTCAGACAATTTAGAGCAGTTTTAGGTCCTTCCTGTCCAAGAGTTCTCTATGAGTGCATCTCGTATGTTTTTTTTTCCTGTTTCTATAGTTGAAATGAGTCACAGATATTCTTATTTTTCTTAAATTTCCATTTACATGTTGGATATGTGTGTGATCATTTATTTTTTGCTGTTTATTGTAAGTCTGAAGTCTCTCGGATTTCTCTAAACCTTGATATATAGCAAATGTTGTCCTTGCATTTCTGTTTCTGATGCTCCTGCCACCAACCTTGCAAAAATAACATTATAGATTGTCACAGCCATTCTAGTTCATGTGGTACTGGAATCAAAGAAAGGATATGCGTACATAAGAAGTAAACCATTCTCCTGTCAGCCCTACACTTGTCATCAGGAAGCTACATGACTGCATGCTGTTCCTTATTATAAATGTCAGGGGAAAGTTTTTACTAAGTTACTCAAAACCAAACAACTTCACCCACTCCAAAAATAAAAATCTTCCTCTGGATATTACTACCTCAAGAAAGAATGCAACATGAAAGAGGTGGTGAGCTTCAATCTCAGCTGATAGATTTATAGGTCGTTATCAGTCCTACCACACTGTCATATTTCATTATAATGAAAAGCTTTTAATTTTATATCAAAATGTATTAGCTGACATCTCCCTTTGACAGTTTCTACTTCCATAATTTTAGCCTAACTCAATGACCATTTAATTCTACTCCATTAAGCAGAGAGTTCATCTTCTCAATCTCTCCCTTTTAGAACTGAAAAGTATCACATGCAAAATACTGGAGAGTTATATGTGTAATTAGAGACCTTCCCACAACACTTGGAGCCAACTATAGATTACTTAAGTCACATTTCTGATATATCATGAGATTACCACTCCATCGTGGCTATGGTCCTATCCTTCTCCAATGAGAGACACTCCTTGCATTCTCTTCTTTCAGGCATATAACTCTTACCTTCCTGAAGCTTAAAGATTGTGTCTGGCCTTAGGCCTTTCTTTTTCTTTCTTTTGCTTTTTCTTTTACTTTTTTGGTGGTGGTGGCGCCCACCTTTAATCCCAGCACTTGGGAGGCAGAGGCAGGAGTATCTCTGTGAGTTCGAGGCCAGCCCGGTCTACAAGAACTAGTTCCAGGACAGACTCCAAAGCTACAGAGAAATCCTATCTAAAAAAACCAAAAGAAGAAGAAGAAGAAGAAGGAGAAGGAGAAGGAGAAGGAGAAGGAGAAGAAGAAGAAGAAGAAGAAGAAGAAGAAGAAGAAGAAGAATACAAGCAGGTTGAAGAAGAAAATCAGAACAAATAGAGAAGGCCACCATCCCCTCCCCTAACAGTAACCACCAAGCTATCTAACATACAACCTAAGACATACGCACATACATGTGTACATATATTTACAAAGCATCTGCATACATAGATCAAAATATGTACACACATGTATTTGATTCACATATATAAATGATATACGAATGTTTGAAAATAACTAAATGTTCAGGCAGTAGTGTAGGCCTTTCTTATGAGTTCCATATGTTGCTTTTTTGTGATTTTCAGGTAACCTGCTCATTAGTAGGGATCATGAGCAAAGGAAGATTGTTCCCAGGGTTTCCTTAGATTTAGTGACCCTGCATTGCTATCACAAATATGAGACTGTAAGAAACAGATTTAGTTCCTAAGTAAATACCATCATGTGATATATACACTGCATTTTCAATGACAGCATCCCTCAGTATCCTACAATGAGCAAAAGAAAATCCCATGTAAGAAGTAGAAGGGGGTGACATACGTGGCCCATTGACTATGATGCCACCAGACAGAGTCTTGACATTGGCAGAGCTGAAGATGTATGAGGTGAATTCTTTAACTTGTTCTACAAATTCTTCATTCAGATGTTCCTCTGGAATTGTCTCTAGTTTGGAAAGATACTTCCTCTGAGCAGGACTGTAAAAGATGAAGCACTTCCTCTTTGGAAAGAACTTTCTGATGCATAGCCGAGACTCATTTAGGTGTTTATGTTTCTTATCAGTTCCTTAAAGAAGGATGAATTAGATAAAGTAAATTTCAAAAAAATTACTGAAAATACATGACCCTTTCAGTATTATAACTTTCCCAATTCAAAGGGAAATATGATAATGTGGAGTCATCAATATAAAAATAAAGGAATGGAAAAGGAAACCCCCTTTCTCTAAGAAATGGTGGATGGTAGAGTTCAAATTCAGGCAGCTGTTTTTTCATTTGCCATAACAGCACTGAGGATGGCACAATTATAGGATCAAGAACTTTCCTTATGAAGAATGCAGAAGTGACCCTCATGCTATTGTTATTGTTGTATCTGCAGCTTCCATTGAGTCCATTTACCTTTTTTCAGAGCCAATGAATTCTCCAGGTACTCATCAGGAGTGACAGCCTCTCCATCAACTTCCAACTCCAGTGTGAAATCCCTCAGAGTCCACACAAACACTGGAAAAAAGCTCACAAAGGTAGCTGAGTTATCTATGTAATGCGGCTCAGTTGATGACTTTGATTTGATTAGATCAGCCAGCTCTGTCACATAGCTAGAATACTAAGTTAAGAAAATTACATGGAAAATGCCATTTTTATGATTTAAATTCCAATACTACCCATCAAAACTAACATATTTACTTGTTAGCTTATTTATTTCCAATAGTCACTTGGTCACAAACATCTACTTAATATATTCTATGGAACAAGCACTATCCTGGGAAAAAAATTTAAAAATAAGTGACAGAATGCCAATACACGGAGTTTATGTCTGCTTGAAAGAGACAGATAACAAATAAGTGAATGAAAAGTCAAAGAAGTCATCAGATACGTCTAAGAATTATGATGCAGAAAAATGAACTACTCAAAGAAATAGTGAATCAGTGCACACGTGTGTGAGGTATGAGCACATGAAAGTCTTCAAAGGGCCACCGTGTTCTCTAAGGTCCTAGGTTATCAGGAATCCAAATGAATCAACAGATACAACCATGGGGCGTGCAGGTGAAGAATATTACAAACAGAAGTCACATCACTTCTAAACCCTTAACCAGGAAACATGATTCTATAGTGAATTTAAATCAGGGTTGCCAGTGTGGTGGCATAGAAGGCCCAAAAGACATACATGTGGGACAATCAAGTTAAACAAAGCCAAGTCTTCAGTTTTATTTCCACTAAATGGAAGGCATTAGTAGACTTATATAGAGAAGATATTGTACAATATCATTTCTGAAGATCACACTGGCTGAAAATGTACCTGGGAATCAAAAGTATAAGCATAGAATAATTTAGCAGTTGACATGTCCAAGACAAGAGACAAAAAAAAAAGCTTAGACTAGAGTGTTTTTGTGGAAGATATGAGGAGACTGTCTCAGTCTAGGGAAATAGGTTTGCTAATGGAACTGAGAACATTTGTGGAATAATGATTTTTAGAGTACTAGAAAATGGTTGTGTCCAGTGACTACAATGTTTTGAATCTGCACAATTTTGCAAATGATGAGAATCTTTAATGTGATAAGAAACATGGAGGAAGGAGAGATTTTTGTATATTTTGACTTTGGATTGTCTCTTAGATATCTACATAAAGGCAGCTAAATGCAAAAGATTGAATGTTGTCATGACTATAAACTTGATGGCAACTGACACATAGATGACCCAGAAGGCCTTGAGGTCAAATGACAGCACCTAGAGACACAAAGGAAAACAAGGGTAGCAGAGGCACAGCAATTGAGTTATACACTTAGAAGCCAAAGAAAGAAGAGAGTGGAAACAGAAAAAGTTTACTGGTGTGGTAGGTAGAATACCAGAAAACTTAGAAACTCTAAATCTAAGGTTCAAGTCACTCAGAAAGAGGAAGAGCTCAGTTTATAATCTGCTGTGAAACCAAATAATATAAATACCAACCGGGTAAAGAAGTTTATTGAACTCAATATTTGAAGTCAATGTCATGGAGATGGAGCAAGCAGTGACAATGACATAGACGAGTTCAGGATGGAAACAGTGGGAGAAGGGAAGGGAACAGTATAAGAGATGTAAAGAATATCTTCTGGTTTCTAGTCTTTAGAAAGTTAGTAGAGCTTTATAATTTTTGCTTAAAAAATGTTGTGTTGAGTGGATAGTTGGAAAAATAAAAGACCGGACATAGAAGTGCTGTGCTCTGAAAGCCCACACTTCAGAGACTCTGAGCATGTTTTCACTGATAGAAGAATGAGAAAGTGCTGCACAGTCTAAATAGGAAGAAGAAGCATGCCTGTCTTTTCTATGGTTCCATAACATGCAAAGTGTGAGCTAAACAAACAAAAGAAAAAACAATCAATACCTCGGAGCACCTGAGAGATTGCTGGATATATCACTGATAGCACGTACCTGGGTAGTTAAGTGGTGTTACTTAGAGATGCTGGCAGGAATACTGATTTTCAGGGACATAAGTTTTAACTGATGTTGAGGATTTGGACATACATGAGATATTAATCTAGATATGGATTTTCTGAGCAGTGTATTGCTGAATTTAAGGCCATATGGGTGAGGAAAATTTGAACTGGTGATACAGACCAAGATAAACCCAGATGGTAAGGAGAAAAGGATTATCTAAATCCCTTAGTCCTTCCCTGACTGTCTGTAAAACACAACACCCTGTCTGCTCTTTGTGCTATTCGCTATGCACTATGGTACAGTAGGTGCCTGTTCTACATGACAGTTTGCAAGTCTCCAGCAAGGGCCTGGAGAATGACACACACAGAGTCAGGCAGACAGAGACATGGGGACCCAGGTCATCCTTGAATTCACCAAGAATGCTCCCTTAATTGTTTGTGGTCCAGATAACTACTCTCCAGCCAAATCCACTGAAACCATTCCTCTTCCATTAAGAACACCTGAGGGTCTCTTGCTCAGTGCAGCTGCAAACACAGGAAAACAAGTTGTTATGCACAGATGAGCTGCAAGCATTGGAAAACAAGCTGTTTACAGGAAATTCAGGGTCTGGGGGGGGGGGATCAACAGACCCAACACCTGTTTATCTCATGAAATAATGAAGCTGTTCTTCTTAGGTTTAATACTGTTTATACACCACACCCAAAGGATACTGCAGTTGGTCCATGGCCTGCTGGTCGATAGTTCCTATGCTGTTGAAGATGAAGGTGCTGCTGAGGAGGACCGCCAAGGCAAAGATCCAGCAGTCATTCTGGTTGTCTCCCTACAGGCCAGTGAGTGAAGAAGAGTAACTAAGAGACTGTCCAAAAACCCAAGTAGCCAAGGATGAGCCCATGTCTGTCTCCCATTAACTTTGTTATCAAAAGTAAGTCATTAACTTTACATAATAATTTATGCCTGTACAGTGATTTTATGAGTAAACAATTCATGCTATATAACATAAATAAGAAGATGTACACCAATGTATAAGAGACCATGAAGTAAATTCACACTTGAAAGTCATAATGGTGAACGATGACTAAACTCTAACTGGTGTGCTGGGTTTCACTCACAGAACATATTGTGGTAACAGACTATTTTAGTCGGGGTTTCTATTGCTGTAAAGAGACACCATGACCATGGCAACTCTTATAAAGTAAAGCCTTTATTGGGCTGCTTAGCTCAGATGTTTAGTTCACTATCATCATGGTGGGACATGGCAGTGTGCATGCAGACATGTGCTGGAGAGAGAGCTGAGAGTTCTACATCTTACACTGGCAGCAGGAAGTGGTCTCTGACACTGGACATGGCTTGAGCATACATGAGACTTCATAGAGTGTCTCCACAATGACACATTTCCTCCAATAAGGCTACACCTAATCAAAAAGCCACACCTCCTACTACTGCCAATTCCTTGGGGGTGGGAGGGCATTTTTCTTTCAAACTACCACAGGGATATTTAGCACTAGAGAAAGTAAGGTCCTTTAAGATAGTTTGTGTCTCTCAGACTGTAGAGAGGAGTGTTACAGGAGGAGAGGGCTGCTTGTCATCCCTGCCACCCAGCTAGCTCACACCCAAAATAATCACACAAAAACTGTATTAATTAAATTACTGTCTGGCCCATTATCTTTAGCCTCTTATCGGCTAATTCTCACATCTTGATTTAACCCATTTCTTTTCATCTGTGTATCACCATGAGGTCATGGCTTACCAGGAAAGATTCAGCATGTCTAACCTGGAGCCTCTATGGCAGCTCTCTCTCTCTGACTCTGCTATCTCTCTCCCAGAATTCAGTTCTGTCTTTCCCGCCTATCTAAGTTCTGCCCTATCAAAAGGCCAAGGCAGCTTCTTTATTCAATCAATGAAAGCAACACATAGACAAAAGGACCTCCTACAGAGGAGCAATGTGATCCTCCATGAAAAATAATGTTATTGCAAATTGTGCTGTTTGCAAGGCAATAACCTCCATAGGCTCATATATTTAAATGCTACTCATCGTGGATGGAGTTAGAAAGTTAAAAAGAATTGGAAGGATTAAGAGATGTGAGACCTTGTTGTATCATTTGGGGTGGGATTTGAGGTTTCAAAAGCCAATGGCAAGACTAGTCTCTCTGTTGCTCTCTCTCTCTCTCTCTCTCTCTCTCTCTCTCTCTCTCTGTCAGTCTCTATGTCTCTACTCTCTCTGTTTGTCTCTCTTTCTCTCTCTCTGTTTCCTAGGGATCAAGATGTAGCTCTCAGCTACCTCACCCCTGTTGCAGTACCATGCCTGTCTTTACTGCTGCATTGTTCCCTGCCATGATGATAATGGACTAAGCCTCAGAAATTGTAAGCAAGTCCATAGCTAAATGCCTTTTTTTTAAAAAAAAAAATAATGCTAACATTGTTCATAGTTTCTGTTTACAGAAATAGAGTGCTGCCTAAATCTTGTTTTTCTCTCACTAATAATGCTGTATAGGAATTATAATTCTTAGCATTTCCACGGGCTCACACTTAAGAATCAGGTATGTTCAGAATATATATAGCCAACTTTAAAAACATCATTAAGAGTCTCACCAAGACATTGTGGGATGGTGTAAAAGAAAAACGACAAAAAAAAAAACATTGTTCATTATTATTATGAAGACTTACTGGCTACTAATCATTTGACTTTAATGTCTACTCTTGGATACTTTGTCAGGTGAGTTGAAGAACAATATTCAAATTAAATTCACCAGGACTGTAAATGAAAGATTGGGAGTGAAGAACACAAGGTGAGCTACTGACAAAGCATGAGTAGAATTTGAAAGATTATGTTGTACCTTCTCTACATCTCCCAGGCCCTCAGTATCAAGCAGAACTAGGGTATGTCCTGGTTTCTGAGGGTGAGGCACACACCACATCCAGATCCCCTTGGTGTGAGACTGCACTGTGGAACCCAGAGAGAATCCTGTAGAGTGGGGATGAAATGGGGGGATAAACAGCACATGCTTCATGAAATCTCATTGGAATTAACATATTCACCACTTACAGGAGCCCAACAAGGTACAAGTATTGCTTTTAAATACAAGCCTAGAAAGGGGGATGGGAGAACATTTAATACTGATCAGCCATTCATTCCTATCTTAGACATCAGTGGACACTTGCTTTTCCTAGATAAACACTCTAATAAATAGTTTATAATTCATGATAAAGCAAGTTGACTTTCTCTATGAACGCATTATTTCTTCAATTAAAACACTCTTGTACCTTTAAATGAGGAACTAATGGGAGTTGGGAGGAACCAGTGAGAAGACTAATTCAGAAAAGAGCAAGCCCACTGAGGGACACAAACCATCCCTCATTACCCATGTCTCTGAGTGTTTCTCCTCCCTTCTGCTTGCTGGATGCTGACAGTGGGAGTGGGAGGGGCCAAGAGGACTCAGCAGAGCTTTGATGATGTCACTCACCTTTCTGCTTTCCAGCCAGTTTGTTCATCAGGTAGGATTTTCCTGTGCGGTAAGAGCCAACTATTGCTACCACCACGACAGGCTGCTTGATAGCAGACAGGATGTCTAGTGCTTCATGGTTGGCCACCAACTGCTGATCAGAGTTCTCGATGAGGCACACTGGGCCTGGCATGTTGATTTCTGAGGCCATTTTGACAGTACTCTTATTTTTGTAAGAAATGATAAAATAGGAAATAGTTCTGTATTGGTTAGAAGAACTCAACTCAACAACATGGACCTAAGGGTGTAATAGTGTCATGCAAACCTTTGCTGGGAACCTACCCAAGTACCTAATGCTAATGAGGCCATAGATCATAGAGGAGACCCTACTACTGCCACTTTAGGAACTCAACAAAGGCAGCATCCTGGAGACAGTGGAATAGAAGCATAAGTATGGCAAAGAAGTCCAGTGTAGTAAAGATGCCCAGAGCTAAGAGATCTTCAGTACCAAAGTCTTGGCAGGGCCAACTACGTAGTTCACAGGAAATTTGTGATGGAAATTGCTACAGTAGAATCTTGACAGTCAGACTAAGCCAAACACTGGGGATGAGCTCTACTGCAACCAGAAGCCTTGACTGAGAACCTAGTGCCTTCCATTTAGTTTTGTTATTCATTTGTGGTGTATCTTTTTAATCTCTAATTTGTTATTAAATTTAAAATTTTTATATCCACATATACAGATATTAAGGATCTATAATACACTTCTTTGGAACTTTTTGTAACTTGATTGCATTCTGCCCCCTCAGCATGCATGTATTGTAATTTGTGTCTTGGGAAATGGTTTGCGTGTTTCCTTCTTTTCTCACAATGTGGTGAAGAACCTTTCTCTCTCCTCTTCATGTATGATGAAGAACACTTTCTCTTGGCTTTTTACATGTGAGACCAATTGCTTTTTACTCATTTTTACTCTATTTACTCTAATTCATTATCCCAGTCACTGTTCTCCTCACTGCTGTAATACATTACATTTTCCCCTGATTGGGAAAATCAGAGGGAAATGTCTCTTCCTGCAAGGAACACAGGGATGTCTAAAAAACTATCACAGCTGGTTCTGCAGCTGACGTTTGCCCTCAATGTAAACATAAGGGAAGACAAGTTACTAGAGATTCACATAAATCTTTAAAGTGAAAAAAGAAAGGGAAAGCCTTCAACTGGTACAAGAGAAAGAACCATTAGAATGAAATCATGTCTGTAAGAAATCCCCAAACCCAAAACATATTCCAAGCACACTGATAGAGATTAGTAATAGAGGGAACAGACAGCCTACAGAATGGGAGAAACATCATTGCCATCTGCTCTTCAGTATGTATTATCCAAAAAATAAATAAATGTGAAAAAATAAACACCAAAAAGAGCACTGTAATAGGGCCAATGAACAGAACCATCAATTCTCAAAAGAAGTACAAAGACCGAAAAATAATTTTGGAAGTGTTCAACATCTTTAGTCATCAGAGAACTGCAAATTCAACTGACTTTGAAATTCTCTCTCATCTAGTCAGAAGGTCTATCATCAAAAAAGCCAAGAAAAACAGTGGTTTATGGTCACAAGAGCATGTATTACTTCTGGTTTGTTCCACATAAATCCTAGCCTGCCTCTGTCCTGCTTCCTGTGTCATACAGGGGAGAGGACTTAGAGGCCAACCGAGTTTTTGATCAGGACATTTCCCACTGAACCATGCACCCAGGAAGATTACAAGCTGATAGTTTGAACATAAATTATAAAAATCCTTCCTTTTAGTTATGTTTGTGTGTTTACCACACATTTGTGGATGCCCACGAACACCAGAAGATGGTATCAAATAATCTGGAGATGTAGTCGCAATAGTTATGAACTGCCCATTTGGGTGCTGGGTACCAAACAAGGCCAAGTTGTGCCACCATAAATTGGGAAGAAACCAATAATATTGTCCCAGGAAAAGTGTCTGCAGAAAAGTTCATAATCTTCTGCATTGTCAATGGGACCAATTTACATGCCCCAAGTTGCCCAGCTTCATTTTTTAAGAGATGTGCTAACTGGCAACAATGAGAATGAGATGTACGAGAATTTGTATGCAGTAAAGATTATTTAAGAAGCATCCAGGTGAAGGACAATGAAGCCTGAACCCCTGTGATCCTCTCTGGATTCCATTGGCTTGAGCCTATTGAGCAGAGTGGAAATGGGGGCACTGCAAGGACACCTTCCCTCCTCCCCACAAACCCTGGATTATAAGTGCACTGGTGACCCACATCCAGAGTGCAGCATCCTCCTGTGGAGAGGTTGTTTCACAGGTAAACAGCAGTGTCCTGGAAGCCTTTTCACCCTGGTCCCCTGACTCACCTAGAGCAGGAATCCTCTACTTTGGGAAGAAAGCAGTTGAGCGGGAAGTTAAGAACCCTAGGCTTCCTCAGACCTGAATCTGGATCCACTGATTTGTTCCTTCTTGCACATGGAGTTTGCACCTCCAATTTCCTGGGAAGTACAGAGCTTTAGCAAATACTTTCTGCTAAGGCAGCTGAACTAGAGGTACTCTAGCAAAAACATTTATAAAGGAGAAAAGTGAAACTAAAAACACTCATGGGTGACTTGCAGAATTCAAGGAGACTGTTCACTGACAGATAAATGTCATCTCAGGTTTCTCAGAATTTTCCACCTGAAAGAGTGCTGAGAACCTGCTGATAGTCGGGGTGGGGGTGGTTAGATTTGAAGCAATACCTTACATCCCATATTTGGGAGCCAGCTTGAGAAGTATAGGAGTAAGGATGCCTCATGTGGTATTTTGGGGGGTTCATTTGCTTCAAAAGCTAAACACACAGAGGATTTAGTTACTCATGCTAACTCATCAAAGACTGTAAGAATTCTAAGACAGTGCCCACGTTTATACAATGCTGAATGCTGTAAACAAACTCCTTTCCTAGAACTTAATATTGAAGAAAAAGGACTTGGTATTGAAGAAAAAAGTATTAATGAAGATAGCTGGCACATGTACATTTTTGACGTGCAAAAGATTATTAGCATGGATAATAACATCTAATTCTCACAAATAATATTCTTGCCACAAATAAATTTAGTAATTTATTAAAATAACAGGATCATTAAGCAAAATTTGACTAGAAGATCTCTTGTCCCTAATTATATACATACATACAAACATACCTACCTACGTACACACACACGATATTAAGCTATTAAGATAAAATACAGCACACTGAGTTGTCTTAAGGTGTCCACACTTAAAGTGCCAAAACCACCCCAAATCAAAGGAAAGACAAAAGTCTTCAAAACTGTTTTGAAGCCAATATAGCACTTTGTCCCTTCCTTTGGTTTCCTACACCCCCAACCATGGTTTGTCTCCTTCTGTTACTATGCTACTAGTTTTTTTTTTTTTACTACAAATTTTAAAGGGCTTTGTTTTATTTCTCCATCTTCCAGTCATCTGGTGTGTGTAAGAATATTTTCATTACAGAGTCATCACATTTCTGTTGTCTTGCTCTTTTCCCCTTAATAACATTTTTCTTCTTTTCATTTAAAAAAAATTAATTCCCATCTAATTTTCCCTTTAGGTTTCTCCTTCCTTAATTTCATTCATTTCTTGGTCCTACATTTATTCTAAATAACAATACACTTGAAGAATTCTAAGGAGCATACCACAGAGAACCTTTGCACACCTGTGTTTATTGATGTGCTAGGTACAGAAGTCAAGTTGTAGAAGATGTTCTCCAACAGCTGAGTGGTAAAGAAAGCGTGCAAACACATAGCAGAGTTTCTTTTTTTTTTTTTGGTTTTTCGAGACAGGGTTTCTCTGTAGCTTTGGAGCCTGTCCTGGAACTCCCTCTGTAGACCAGGCTGGCCTCGAACTCACAGAGATCCTCCTGCCTCTGCCTCCCAAGTGCTGGGATTAAAGGCATGCACCACCACTGCCCGGCCATAGCAGAGTTTCGAGGAAAGTGGATGGAAATTTAGCTTATTGTGTTACAATTAATAAGACAAATATCTCATGTTTCCTCCTGTATATGACATTTATTATAATATAAATGTATATGCTACACATGGCATAGAAGTAGGGTAGAGAATGGAAGAAGATAGTGGGCGGAGGACAGAGGATAAAGCTGGGGGAGAGGAAACAAGGTAAGGTAACAAAGGGACAAGAGATGGACAAAACCAATGCTTCTCTACTCTAGACTGTTAAAGAAAGAGGGAAAACTACATTAAATGGGTGAGAGAAATGAGTGACATGTGTGTGTGCTGGGAGTAGGGAGAGGTGACATGGCTAAAAGTGAAAGTGGGTCAGAAGTTCTTTGAAATGTATCTAAATGCTAGGAAACCAGATGGTGTTTTCTCTAGACCAGTAAAACCTGTTCGCATTAGATAACCCAAAGATGCTTGCATCTCAAATGTTTGAGAATCGTGTAGAATTTAAGGGCAAATAAAATTGAATTTTTCTGATTCTTTAAAAGTTTAAATGTCCTCTTTGTAGCATGTTTCTTGAGAGATAACTGTGTCGGTGTCCTTTCTCTAAAGGACAATAAAATTTCTAAGTATCAATAAAATTTCCCAACAGCTAAGGAAAACCATAGGCATCTTTACATTCACAGTGTTTGAGTGCTCTAGAATAGTCACAGTTAGGGCACATTGTGATTACTAAGGCGTTGGCCTTGAAGATGTCCAACAATGACTGGTTACTGATAGAAAGGCCAAGGATCCAGAAGTTACTCAGTCTAAACTATCCCAATGGTCTTGACCTGAGTCAGAAATGACCTCTATAATCAACTGTGCTACACTTGGCATCCTATTTTGCATCTCGGGCTTCTTATGATGAACTCTTTTTAGGAGAAAACTGTCGCTCTCAGAGGCAGCAATGACCTTGCTCTGAGTCCAGCTTGAACAGAGACAAAAGCAGCCTTGTTTTCAGGCTCAGTAGAGCCAACCTTCCTAGAATTTTCTCCACAAACTCCATCCTTCTGTATTAGGAACTCCAACACAGGCAGAGCTCAGTGCTGTCTGTCACTTAGAAGTCTCTCACACATCTGTCACGTCTGCAACCACATGGTCTCTCTATCCTTCATCTTACTTTTGTATGTGCTACTTTTATTTTGAAAATATTAAGACGTTAGTTAAATGAGTACAAATGAGTGAGATTATTTTGAAAATATTAAGATGTTAGTTAAATGAGTACAAATGAGTGAGATTATTTTGAAAATATTAAGATGTTAGTTAAATGAGTACAAATGAGTGAGATTATTTTGAAAATATTAAGATGATGTTAAATGAGTACAAATGAGTGAGATTATTTTGAAAATATTAAGATGATGTTAAATGAGTACAAATGAGTGAGATTGGCTTGTGTGTGACCAGCATCTACCTTCTGCCCTCACCACTCCCAACTTCACTCACAGTGCCTACTAATCAGTTTCCTAGCTTCAGATTAACCACATGCAGTGCAATAGTCCCCAAGGCAAACACACTGTGCTCTGTCTAACGGAAGACACAGAGAAGCTGGCCCTGTAAGAGCCCACTATCATCAACTTCTTTTTTTTATTTCATATACTTTAAAATTTTATTCATTGACAATTTCACACAATTATATGATATGTTCTTATCATATTCCTCCTTCTACAACCCCTTCTTGGCTTCCTCTCACCCCAAGCCCTACTTCTACCACCAAGCATTCACCCCACTTTTGAAATAAAAATGTTGTTTTTCATTTTGGTTCTGCTTTGTGACCCAAGGGGTTTAAACAGGATCACATGTGTGGGTAAGTGGAAGGCAGCCAGTGGAGCTTGAATAATTCAGCAGAGGCTGCAGGGCCAAAGACTTTCTCTCCAGCAGCTCTCAAGAACCAATAGGTTTCCTGGGCAGGGCTGGCCCTATGTTCCCCTCCTCTACCTGTGACTATAGTGGAATTCGAGTTGTGTTTTAATAAATAAAGCTTGCCTGAAAACCTGAGAGTAAAACAGTGCCATTGTTCAGTCTTAAAAAACCAGGGAATGTGCCGGGTGGTGGTGCCGCACGCCTTTAATCCCAGCACTCGGGAGGCAGGCGGATCTCTGTGAGTTCGAGGCCAGCCTGGACTACAAGAGCTAGTTCCAGGTCAAGGAACCAAAAAGCTGTGGAGAAACCCTGTCTCAAAAAAACAACAACAACAACAAAAAAAAAACAGGTAATGCTAACATACACCTTTAATTCCAGTATTCACACTAGTTGCCATAGACCAAGCGCATGCCTTTAATTGCAGAACTAGAGAGGGTTATGAAATGGGAAAAACAGCTCTCAGACATAGTGTCATTCCGAGGTTCTTAGAGGCAGGCTCACTATTTCAAACTGGGGTCAAGGTAAGAGCCAATGACTGGCTGCTTTGCTTTTCAGATATTCAGGTTGAACCCCAATATATGTTTCTGAGTTTTTATTAATTGTGCTTCATGGGACCGAACATCAATGGCCTCAGTCATGTGTGAACCCTATGTTGGCAACCACAGATACTTTGAACTTATGAATGTCATGGCGATATCATAAGCACTGGATAGTTTTTCATGACTCCCATCCTCAGTGTCTGGCAATGACATTCCTTGAAACCCTTTGTGGGAAAATAGGGTAGCCTCTTGCCTGAGGAAGTATGCCCCATGCCAACTAGAAATGTTGCTGATGAAAATGCTCCTTCTGTTTGGATAAATCAGCAGTAGGAAATGTCATCCCAGCTCTCTGGCCACTGGCTGCATGCACATACTCAACTCTGCTTCCTTAAAAATAAAATAATATTCGTTTATATATTTTTATGCAGTGGACATTTTTGTTTGTAAAACATAAAATTTTCCTGAAATACAGGTTAAATTTATATCATCTTTCCAACCCTGTCCTGATGAAAGAAATTTGTTAGCTCCTGTACAAAATTTGGATGTGTTGATTGAGAATGATTCATTTCAGAGTCTATATAAAATTCTCCTGTTGACAAATATCTTCTAATTCAGTAACAAAACATAAAGATTTAAAAGTATGCATGCTGTAAATTTTATAGTATTTGCAGCTTTTTCTTGAGCCTGGAGATTGCTTTTAACTGTATACTTCGCTTAGCATAGTGATTATTTTTCATCATTTCTTTGTTATATAAAAACACCTTCATTGTATGAAGTAATTTCCCCTTTGAAAGTGTGGACCACATATTTTTAAATGTATTTCTTTAGTTTTTATTTATTTGTGTATGTGCAAATGCGTATGCATGTGGACATATATGGACAACAGAGCCTGCATGGAGGTCAGAGGAACACTTATGGGAGTCAGTTCTCTCCTTCCATCATGTGGGTCCTGGTGATCAGGAGTCAGGCTTGGTGTCAAGCACCCCTACTCACTGAGCCATTTCTCTGGTCCTCAAGAAATATTCCTACCAGATATTGTTACAATCCCTAGATTAGTTGTTAAATACACATTTAATAATTTACGATTGTA